ATTGTCCTATCATAACATCCTACATCCTAACATCCTATCCTATTTATTCAGCTCTCAGATAATGTATAAATCTCAATTTTGAAAAATTGACCCTTATGACTGGTTTTGTGCTCCAGGGTCACATATGCGTGAAATGATAGATTTATTGTTGTGTGTGTGTGTGTTTCAGCGTTTCGGTCCTCCAGATCAGGATTATTACTATAAGAAGACAGACAAGCCTCAGGCAGACAGGCGTCAGGACAGTGAGGAGCAGGTCTCTCATGCTGAAGGTGAGAGACGCTGAGGACACCTGCTGACCTCCACTGAGCTCTGCTCGTGACCATCATGTCTGTGTTTCAGGTGCACATCCAACAAGAGCGGAGGCTGAGAGCAGAGCCGTCAGGAGAGCGCGGAGAAACACAGACGTGAGCTAACAGTGAGTAACAGATGCATTTAAAAAGTCTTAAATGCCATTTATGTGGTAAATGCTTGATTTGTTTGTATTGTTCAACACAGCAACTGATTTGCATTCTGACCGACTTTATGAAAAATAGAAAAGCAGTAGGCTAGGATTGAAAAAAGAGTGACGATTCAAAAGTTGTGGAGTTTTATTTCACCATCTCAATTAAAACCTTATGTATTTAACAAATAAACATTTAAGTGTGCATCCTTTAGTGGAACGTAGAAGATTCTGTATGTCATTATGTTTAATAAACGTGAATACATCTATATATTTCATATGTTTGCATTTCTGTAGCATTTCTTTTGTAAAACAGAGTCGTAGGACCTTTTCAATTTCATATAGTCAAAAAACAACAACTAATATTTGATATTTGAACTGATAGCCATTTACCATTTTCTACAATGTAATGCATATGAATTATATATATATATATATATAAATTTTTTTTTGCTTCCTAATAATCTTTAAAATAATTGGCTAGATACTCAGTTATCAAAATGATCAAACTGACAGGCATTTTGTAAAATACTCTGTAGCATATATGCAGTATTTTATATTTTAACAGTGAAAAATGTCATATCACATGATTTGAGTAATTTTTAAATGCTGTACATTTAGATATTTCCTTAAAAATGTATCTAATATTAATATTCGATATGTACCATATAGTGCCTGAATATGTTTGGTCCACTGGTCATTACAGTCATGTGAACTTATGTGCTTGCTTGTCATGTTGTGATGTTAATGATTCTGAAAAGCTATCATTTCTTTTTTCTTCTGATTTTGGGATGAAATATCAACCAAACATGTTTCTGAACTTGTATTTCATTATTGGTTCATGTTCGCAGGTCAGTGGCAGTGATCTGACAGATGTTTCATCATCCTGAACCTGAGGTTCATCACTTGCAGTGGTGGACGAAGTACACAAATCAAGTACTTGAGTAAAAGTACAGATACATATAATAAAATATTACTCCAGTAAAAGTAAAAGTACTCCTTTTTCAATTTTACTCG